CTGGCGACCACGATGCTCAAGAAGCGCAAGCACGACATGATCGTCAAGCCCGTGCCAAAGCGTGCGGGCCCACCGAGCCAGCAGTGGCGGCCATCGCTGCCACCCGAGATCGACCAAGCGTCATCGCCATCCTCCTTCTGCTGCAGCTACGTCGAGACGCAGACCAAGTTCAGCCGCCTCGCGCTGGGCCGTGACCCACCATAAGAGTGTACAGTCAGTAGTGGGTGGTTGTATTTCAAGTAAGACACGTCGAGGTTCTATTTACATGGCCGCAATGTCCTTGAAAAGCACGACGATGGCCGTGACGTTGTCTCTTGAGCCTTGCGTGCCGATCGCATACTCGACGAGCGCCTAGACGCATTATTACGCTGCTGTACATGGAGAGTGTTCAGTACCTCGACGGTGCGCTGGACGTCGCCGCCTTTGCGCAGTTGGGTTCTAGCACCAGAAGCGTCACATTCGGGGGCAAGTGAAGACGCGTACGTGACAAAGTCGACGGCTTCTTGGTCCTCAAACACATCAAAGAGGCCGTCGCTGCCCAGCAATAAAAAATCTTCCTCGTCTACTCCCATCGATGCGGCGGCAATGCAAGAAGCAACGCAAGACGTACCCGTGACGTCGGTCGTCGTCACTTCGGGCGTCGCAATGACCAATGGCCCTTTCAGGATCTCATTCGGGTTCACGACCGGCTGCTCGACGCCAAACTCGTCCTCGAGACGCTACTATCCTCAGCACTTGATGCGTGCAGTAGATAGAGCATACCAGATTCGACTGGCTGCCATGCGTGTCGTACGTCTTGAACTCGCAGTCGCCAAAGGCACGTGACACGGCCAGCTCGCCCATGATGCGTCTACGATGCACAGGTCAAGGTTTGGTCGACTGCGACGGCAGGTAGGTGATACCCGTGGATGATAAAGCCGCCCGTGTCTCGAATCCGCTGGGCTTCGTCCGGTCTAAGCAGCATGAGAGTGGTCTTCGCTTGGTAGACGCGGCGAGACCTCGAGGGCTTGTGGTCGTTGGAGAGCCGGACGGCCGCGCCATTTCGGCTGAGGACCGTACGCGAGTCCCCGACGTTCGCAACATACATGCGGCGACCTGCAATAAAGACCGTTGTCGCCGTACTGCCCGCTTGCGGTCGGTCCGACTCCTATCTCAAAAGTGGTAAAAAACATCCCCTTTTTCGTCAATGGAACCTGGAGAAACGCCGCGTCCGTCTGTTCAAAGGCCGTCGTGAGGCTCTACAAGTATGCAATGAGCGATGGAGATGGCGCGCGGAGAACGCACAGCGACGATGAGAGCGTCCACGTCGGCGGCGTTGGAAAGATCGGCGTCGGCTGTTCGCATCTACCACGACTAAGACCTCGCGCAGGACCCATCGACGCCTACTTGGAGTTCGCTGATAATGTGCTTGTGCAGGTTGTCGTGCAGGTAGACCGAGGCTTCGAGGCCGCCTATCGACACATATATGTTCGTTTAGCTCTTGTTGAAGTGGTTTTCGTACCATGGCCGTCAAAGACGCCAAAGAAGGACTGCGGGGCATAGCCTGCTTTGGAGAGCGCGGCAATGTTCATATCCTACGCCCGGTATTGCCGACGCAAGCAAGCCATCGGCGTACCTGGATGAGCGAGTGCGCGTCTTCCATGTGCTTTCGGCAGCCCATGTTGTCGTTGACGCCATAGTCAAACCTACTACTACTTGCAGCCAACGCCTTGGAGCCAAAGGAATACCGGTTGACGGACAAGCAGGTTTGGGAGACGAGAATGTGGTCGCCAATCTCGAGACGGTACGGATCTGCGTACGCGCCGCAGAGCTTCATGAACGTGCCATTGGTCGACCCGACGTCGTGGACGTAGAAGCGTCCGTCGGCAGCGTCGCACCAGATGGACGCGTGGCGCCGCGAGAGCTCGCCGTCGCCTGCCACCCGCCATGAGTCCCATCCAGAGTGCGGTAGATATACACCTGTGTGGATGGTGTTGTCGGCGGACCGGCCAATGGTCGCGCCACGCCCGTCCACGTCGTACGTGTTGCCGACCAGCTTTCCAGAGAGGACCTTGAGGCGCATGGACGATGGGCCGAGCGAGAGGACTTCAATATCGGACTTGCCGGCGCGGAACTGGCACCCGAGCGAGAGCGGCCACTGAGTCTTGGACGCGTGGTCGTCGAGGCTCACGGGGCTCAGGCGGATGTACGTGGCGTTCGTGCCGTCGTTGCCGTTCGTAATGTAGAACCCGGGTCCATGCAACGGATGCACGGCGTGC